AACTCGTTTTGTAAGTCTTATTCAAATCACGTCCACGACACGTCCTCCTCAAACAAAAAGATGGGAAAATAAAAATCATTCATCCCACGTTTATGTCTTCCTCTCCCTTAACAAGATGAAATCCCAATTTTACTAACAACCTATATAGCAGGAAAATTTTGGTAGATTGCTTGTCCTATATGCAATTTGCGTAGTCATAAAAAGAAAATGTCAACTTCTGCATACGATTATATCTATGAATTTTTGTTATTAATTCATTACGATGTTGCACGATGAATAAAATCAATCGCGTCCGCAACTATCGCTCATGACAAAAGCTGCTCATAAGAAATAGCATCGAATCCACATGATTGTGATGAGAGTGACATGCCAAGATGAAAGAGTAGAGATGTAACTAGGAGCAAGTCCTTTTATTTATAATATAAGGGTCATGAATCCATCGAAGTGATAGAACTAGACATTGCCTCAATGTACCAAACTACGAAATGCGGGAACTCATGTGCTCCTCAATCGGTCGGTTCCGTCGTCACCGAAGCCGGTTTCGATGTTGGTGTCAGTTTCGGTGCTGACTTGGACCTCGGCAGCATGCTGGTTCCTCGACTGGGGGTGGTGTTGGCGTCGACGGTGGTGGAGGGTGTCCCATTTGCCGGAGGAGCTGGTGTCGGCGTCGGTTTTGGTGTTGGTTTTGGCGTCGGTTTTGGAGCTGGTTTTGGGGACGGTTTTGGGGACGGTGCCGGCCACGGGAATCCGTGGCACGGAGGCCAGTGAGGGAACGGGAAAGGGGGCAGACGGGGGAAATGAGGGCGGGGGAGCCTGAAAGGCGGCCAATGCCACAGCCATTGAGGATCAGCCGAGCCCTCTGTGGTTTGCATCTTACTGATGCCTTCCCTTGCATTGCAGACCTCACAGCTCAAGCAGAAAACAAGCAAGACAACCAGGGATGCAGTCATGAAGAAGCTCTTCATGCTGGTCTTCTCCATTTCCTCTTTTTTGTGGGGGATGAAGGAGTGGTGTGATGAACACAGTTTGGTGGGGTGAGCTTCTTATAGAGCCAAGATCAACAAACATGATCCACAAAAGATTGTTTTGTAATTCGAACTGACAAAATCTAATGCTATAGATGAATTGAAATCATCATGCTAAATTTGATGGACAAAATTTGTAAATACAGGACATACTTGCATCTGCTAAAAATCTTTCAAATGTGTATTCCAATATTCTCTCATCCACAGATATATTTAGCACAAAATTAGATTAAATATTGGAAAATTTTGTTAATTGATCACATAACCGCATTGATCCATTGCAATGGTTCAAATTTTTAAATCTAATATTCTCCCAGCCACAATATTTATCAATTTAATTGATATTAAGATCTCATTAGCTTTCATCTTTGTGCACAAAAATGTTCCAATTTGACGTTTACTTCTTCTCACACAACAGTGTGTGTTCTCTTTTGCTTACCATATTGTATATATCCATACGTTTTATCTATTTCTAAGCTCTATGTTCAGGAAGGATTCGACCAGGATGAGTACTTGAACCTACAATTGTCTCTCCAATAAGGTTTTTTAATTACTATTTTAAGCTCATTTTCGGGGCTGAATTTGAAATTATGTCTATGTTAAGCTTTCTCTCCTTTTATTTGAGAAAAGGACGAAAAGTCGAAAAGATTTTGAAACAATTATAACAAGAGTTCAAAAATCCGTGTCAACCCGAAACTTGAGTCCAAAAACTTTCGATTCCTGCATTGAAGTCCTAAATCTTGTCACCGTCCCCACGTTAGTCTTTCCGTTAACTTCCTAATTTTTTCATGGATGAAATTCTATGTGGCATTTTTTATTTTTCACAAAAGTGGCACTAAGGCGCCATATAAAAAAAACTAAAAGAAATTGAAAACACTTAAATTTTTTAAAAAAAAAACAAACAAACAGAGAGCGGGTCGAAGGGGTAAGGTCAAGGACAAGTTTACAAAACGTGGTAGGACGTCCTACCCCTTTTTCCTTAATTTTTCAAGTTTTTTTTTAATATTTTCAGTTTAATATTAACAGAAAAACGTTGTTTTTGTTTAATGACACGGTGTTAGATTTTAACTGTTTGATCGGCACGTGGAAGAAAAAATTGATAAAAAAAGCCACCTCTAACTTTTACCTCCACTAGTAATTAATGACCTAATAGAACGATTAACATGTAGGACGACGACAAATTTTAAGACTTGAATATACGAAATAAAAGATTTAATGTTCAAGTGCTAGATCGATATAAATTATGGAATTCATTCTGTAATTTTTCATGAAGATATTTTAAGGGGAAATGCATTTATCACGTCAAACTTTGATATTTGCTCATTTGTTTTTGAAATTCTGGATTACGTAAGGTGGCGATTTTATTCTCTTTTCATTTATTTAGAAATCAGCAAGCTGTTTTTTTCATCACCCTACATAAAAAGATAATAATCTCTTAGGTGCCGTTTGCTTACATCTATTTTTGTTTTCATTTACAAACGGTAGAACATTTAACTTATTTTTAGTTTATTCAAATGTTTCTTGATTAACAAAATTGTTCGATCATGCCAAGTAATAAATGTTTGTCTAGTATCATCTCGCTTAACAATTTTTGTCATGTCATTGTTTATCGGACGTTGGAAAATCATTATTTTATAAAAAGAAAGAGTGTTTGAAGGGGGTTAGAAACCTACAACATCCGCTATCAAAATTTTCGATTTAACGTGCCAACGACACCATTTGCCCATTGGGTGAGCCTATCACTGTAGCCTCATCAGGTTCGAGTGGGAAAGCCTAAAACCAGCAATACACCTAAATTCGGGCCTTGGGGTCTTTAATTGAAATTTTCCCTTGTTTATCGGACGTTGGAAAATCATTATTTTATAAAAAGAAAGAGTGTTTGAAGGGGGTTAGAAACCTACAACATCCGCTATCAAAATTTTCGATTTAACGTGCCAACGACACCATTTGCCCATTGGGTGAGCCATCCGTAGCCTCAAGTGGGAAAGCCTAAAACCAGCAATACACCTAAATTCGGCCCGTCCTTTGTAGACTAATCTCTTGAGACCGAGAATGAAATGGAGAAGCAATTGCAACCAAGTTTTGAACCACTCCACCTGGTTGATAAGAAAATTTTAATCACTAAAAGATGAACAAAATTTTAAAGGTGATGATGGATCTTTCAAAATGATACGAGAGACATTACTACTTATAGTAATGAAATGTAGTTGCCATTGAATTTGCAATGTCATCTCTCACAAAAATTTTACAGGCACAAAAAGCTCTCATTAATTTTGGTGGCAAAGAAGAAGATAGTTCTTAGGGGAAATTTCACTTTACATGTTAAACCTGAAATTTTACCCCCGAGCTCTCAAAATCTCTTACACGTTAAACTCGGAAAAATTGTCTAAAAAGTTCTAAACCTATTGCACCTTTGCCAATTCAGTCCTAAACCTTTTAAGTTTGCCAATTCAGTCATAAACCTTTTCACTTCTTGTCAATTGAGTCCATCTGGCCAATTTTGGCCGGTCGGCGCTAACGTGGCCGCCGGGCGTCCGACCAACGCTGATGTGGCAATTTTTAATATTATTTTCGAATTTTTTCATTTTTTTTTTCTTTTTTTCTTTTCTGCCTTCTTCCCTCTGGCCAGTCCGGTGATTGGCCAAAGGCGCGGGCCGGCGAGGTCGACCTCACTGGCCTCTAGCGAAGCTTGCCCCCGTTGTCCACTAATGAGGGCGAGCCTCGCCCGCCGCTGCTAGGCTGACCTCGCCATCGCTGGGTTTCACCTCACCCAGTGATAGCGAGGCCGGCCTTGCCTTGGCTAGGCGAGGCTCGAGCTAGCCAGATTTGGGCGACCTAGCCGAATTTGGGCGAGGTCAGCCTGGTAGCAGCGGGCAAGGCTCGCCTTCACTAGTGGCCGGCGAGGGCGAGCTTCGCTAAAGGTCGGCGAGGTCGACCTCGCCGACCCGCGCCTCTGGCCGGTTGCCGGATCGGCCATTGGGAAGAAGGTAGGAAAAAAAAGAAAAAAAATATTTAAAAAATTCAAAAAAAAATTAAAAAATTGCCATGTCAATGTTGGCCGGACGGCCGAAATTAGACAGATAAACTCAATTGGCAAGAAGTGAAAAGGTTTAGGACTGAATTGGCAAAAGTTCAATAGATTTATGACTTTTTGGACAATTTTTCCCGTTAAACCCCAAACTGTAAATCTTCACACTTTACAATCTAGAACTCTCACCCCATGACATGTTAAACCATAAATTATAAATCTTCAATTTCGAATATGCACATAAGTTCTATCGTTTGCAATGTATGATTCTTAAGCTGAAACTAGCTGCAACAAATTAAATTCTTTCTTATGGACGAAGATGCCCCCTAATGCTGAAAAATACAACAACAGTTGGCACTATGCGTGCATTGTTTGTACGTAGCAATGACATTTTCGATAATTCTAAACATTCTTTTTTAAGCTTCATCAATCTGCGGGGGCAAATGGAAATGAAAGAATTTACCATTCACTTAATTGTGTTTTCTTTTTGAGAAATTTAATGGGGGCAAAAGTTACATTTTGGACCAAAATCATTTATCATAACTTAAAAATCTTGAACTAACTTCAAGTTTTAGACAAATGAGGGGAGGCAAGAGCGCCCGCTCCATTAAATGTAGGTAAAAAGCAAGTGCACTACACATTTCACGGATAAACTTGATAGTGGACACCAGTGGAATGATTTGTAAATTTGGGTGAATAAAGTATAAAGATGCAAAACTCCCTAACATAAGGGCCAAAATCAAATTTTGTTTAAAGATACAGGGACTAAAAGTATAGTTTCCTTAAACTACCAGGAGTGAACAGATATATAAGAAAACATCTGGACAAAAATCAGCTGCCCGGGGCTCTATGTTTAGTAGGCAAAGAGTCTGAATGACAATGAATTCAGTGATGATAACATTTCACAACAAATCATGCATACATTAACAGTTTCCATTTGTATCATATTTGGCACAACAGATAACAAGCTTTATTCACCTAATAGAACAATAAACACATCTCACAGATGCAGTCCACAACATAAACAATGTATATATACAATAGATCTTGCAAACCGAAGAAACATTGTGGAATTTCTCAACAGCCGGAGCATTCGCCAGGGCAGGGATCAATTGACACGTTGATTCCGCTGCTGTAAAGAAATATCCACTCCTTTTATTTGATTAATCATGATAATGGTTGATTCCTTCGACATGATTCGTCATGTCGACCCAGAATGACCTCATCTGTTTGTAGGAATACTTCCCTCTGGACATGCCCGAAAACAGGAATGACTAGTAAGCACTACCCTTCCATGAGATGATAGTTGTAGAAAAAGAACCAGAATGGAAAATCAACACAGCACGCACCTCGGAGCCGCTCTTGACTAGGTCTGCTGCCTCGACCTTGCAACCATTGCACCACCACCGCAGCCACTACATCCACCGCCGCACCCACCACAACCACTGCTCTTCACCATTTTTCCACACCCACCACCACAGCCGCCACCGCAGCCGCCACCACAGCCACCACCACATCCACCGCATCCACTGCTCTTTACCATGCTGCCACACCCACTCCCGCAGCCGCTCCCGCACCCACTACCGCAGCCACTGACAGTTGAATGAGAATCTGCTGGGACTTCTTCAATCCCTTCAACTGCATCACCATTCGGCTCGACTTGACTTTCAACTGGCAAGGCCGTGACACTCTCTTTGCCTACAGCTGGGAACCCGCTTTCTTTCTTAATTAAATTGTCTGCTTCCACATTGTCCTCCATAGCAGCTACCGCCTCAAATCCTTCATTTTCCATTATATCAGAGAGCACAAAAGCTAGTACCACCATAGTCAACAACAGTGATTCTTCCTTAACCTATTTAACAAATAAAAAAAGTCAATACGGATAATGACACTATCCTGGAAAGAAGCAGTTTTAGAGAATCCATTTTACCTTTACCACTCCCGATTTCAAGTTGATCAGTGCTACTGCTTCTCCATATGGACTATCAGCGGGGAATTCAACTGCAGTCACGAAATCTCTTTCCTTCTTTTGCGTCTCATGATGTTTTGGTTCATAACCCAGTTTTCTGCCAGGAAAAATGTTCACCTGCCAGAGAAAAAGACTAGCTAATGAGAAAAATACAACCCATTGACTTATGTTTGTTTGCAAAGTGATCCTTATTCTTCATTCCTGCAATTCTCCTGGGTATCTTCTATAGTTGTGAAAAATTGAAACAGCATCTTCCATTATGGTTTCAACTTAACCATCTTTTGACTAATATAAATGCTAGTATTCACCAGGATTGCTGAAACCAAAATATAGGGGGGCGACTCTATGAATGTCCCAAGATTACACGGCTTCAACAACATTAATCCTAACAAGCACTGCAATAAAACTCTTTCCACTCTCAAAACCTGTTATATTTCATATTGGTTATGTTTAACAAAGTTTAAGATGACAGAAAAACTAGCTAATTTAAATTTTCCTAAGATCCCATTACATCTCCACAGGAAATTCAGGCCGTGGTTTTCCTAGCCGCGGAACTCTGAATATATTGGACTGGTAATCACATACTGTTTGTATTCTCTGAGGCTACCTTCCCACTTTTTATTTTTCTGTTAATTAGCAAGACCTGTTTCACAGAACAGATTTTGGATTGGAACAGACTTAGAGATCATTTACAGTCCGGCAGAACAGTAATAGCACCAACATGATTCCTGTGCAGAGTTGGTGCTACTACTGAGCACGTGCGGTAAACAAAATTGGGCTGTCTGTTGCCAATTTCAAGTCTCAGCAATGGCATACATGCTTACTCAAGCTTAGTTGAGCGGTGACAGGCATGTTATCCAATGCATCTATGCTATGATGACTCTTTGTTGAGGTAATGTAGGGTCTATCTGGAGTGGGCTTATGGGCATTGGACACTTTCATCCCAAACTAAGATAATTGCAAGTTAGTGTCTTACTGCAGAACTGCTTTAATCTAACTCACCATTAAAAAAAATACCGAAGGAAATTTATCAAAAAATTTGAAGAGAGGAATACTGAAACCCTTGTGAATAATTTGCTTTCTAAAAGTCAAAATACATAAAAAAAAATTCGCATAATAAAGTTCCAGTATTCATGTTTCATATAGATACGGAGTCCATGTATGCCCTATCTTGAGACATAGACAAGCCACATGTCATGATATGCATTTGCTCCCCTCATCACACCTAGATTCAGTCTGAAGAACAGAGATGTGCATGCAAGTTTTAAAAAGCACAATCTGACAAATTTTGCCAATTGTAGGATACACCGATTTATTTCTTTCAAAGAAATAATCTGGCACTAAAGAAGTGCCAAACAGTTTGTTGAATTTTTGAGAGAGGGAGGCATACCACTCTATCACCTATCAGCATGCAGAGATGGCTATTTTCAGAGGAAGATTTCTGAAACTTAAGGGACCAACGAGAACCTAGCAAGGACCATCCATCCTCCATAAACTCAGCCAGTGTACGTGTTTCACCACTTTCTGTAATTCCAATCACCTCCTTCCTAGGGGTGAAGTTGTCCTTCCTCTTTTCTTTCTTCGAGCTCCTGACATTCAATCCATGTTAGGATTTATCAGAGAAATTAAACTTCAGGGCTATATGCCTGTGGAGATTCAAGAGATGCATAAAGCAGCATAATTTGTTATGTTGGAAATTTAACTTCCGATGCCTAGATGCTCCCAGCAGCGATGAAGGAGTGGGTGGCCAACGGGAATGCGGTGTAGAATAATGATTTATTTTTACACTATGGCCCCCTCGAACAATTACATGACTTCATTATATTCCAAATACAAGTAGTACTAAAGATCCATACAAAACCAAAGTCAAATAGAAGTAGATGGAAGTTATATAATAAATTTCAACACAATTGTATGATAAAAAATGGAAGAAGCCAAGTTGCTCCCCTGCACAAATTTAAGCCAATTTTTTCCGTTGATTGACCAAAACCGCTTCAATTCAACCCATCTGCTAAAAACTCGCCTAAAAGACATTTCACCCTATCAACCATGAGAGCATATCGAGCTATCTTGGCTGTGATGGAATTGAGGTAAATAGAAGCAATCTGGTTGATTCCAGGGTACATTGATTTAAAGTTGGGCACGAGAGGTAAATGGAGGAAAAATTGCAGTTTCCCATAGTGTTGTGCAGTGCATTGTCACTTTAACAGGAAAAGTCATGGAATCAATGTGAAATTAAAAAATTGTAAATGTTCTTCTAAATAGGACCAAAAAATAGAGGTGCGAAAAAGACGTCAAATCGAGATGGATTTTTGTACCCAGTAAATACAAAACCAGTAAGTTCTACTTGTAAAATTAGATGCTCTAAGGATTGCCAAATTCTGACTTCCTTGTGAGGCCAAGTAAAATGGCATAAATTTCTAGAACATAATGAGAAAACATGACACTAGTGCCCATAAGTTTATGATTACTTTGCCCATAATTTATTTACTTCCAATGAGATATAGAGCAAGAACCATGTGTGTGTTAGTTTCAGGGAGGCATATTTATAGCATACAGATGTAAACTACTGTACCTCATTTGGAGAGTAATAACCTCAGTACCAGCATCAGTCATTACACGTGTCCAGCTTTTGGCATGTTGAACCCTTCCAGGTAGGGGAAAAAGGCAAGAACTTTTAGAGAATGGCCGAGAACGAACCATGTGAAGCACATGCAATGCAGGGTTTGGAACTGTAAAGGAAAAGCCAACACGCAAGCACATTGATTCTGAGCTTGCATAGCCAGAAGAAGGCACCAACTCCAACCATTTCTCGTCAGAAAGTTTTGAAACTGGAACCAAATAATCCTGTAGAGAGAGTGAGGCAGAGCCCAAAACTCTAGGTGTCTTTTTAATGGGTAAGGTGGAAGGAGAATATGATGCAAGTTCGAAGAGCAACTCTCCTTTGGGTTCACAAGTGAACGAAGCAACCATTTTCTCTCCAGATTCTGACAAAATACTTAGCCTTTGCTTAGCATTGAAAAACAAGTCTGGCTGTGATTTACTAAATAAGACAGAAAGCGTCCCCTTGTGGCCCTCTGGCAAGCCTCTAACTCCAACAAACTCCAAGAGTACCTGCAGATTAAAATGAAAGGAAAGACTAAGACAGTGAGAATATACATGGAAAAATATATTTTACGACAACTAATATCTAAATTGCCCAGAAGTAAAAGAAGAAAAGTATTCTTGCATGCATGAATCGAAGTCTTCCATAATTCTACAACCCTAATTCTGACTAACCAAACTAATTACTAGAGCCAGAACAATTAAAAAACTATTATATAATTACTTAGAAAATCCAAGAACAAGGCAAGATTTGAAGTTACTCTATCTAAGATGTCTTGGAGCTATGAACGCTGAATTGTCCACTATTCTAGTCCCTCTCAGGTGCATTATGGTCAGATCACAAGAAAAAATGTAGGACTAGACCTGCATATTCATGCTGCTAAAACGCTAAGAAATTTGAACAACAATCGTGTCATGGAAAGAGACACATTAACACATCAATGAGACCGAAAAGACGAAAATGGTGCACAAAAAGAGCAGTACGAAGCTTAGCAGCAACTACCTCCACAAACTTCACGTCTGGAACCTGAACTATATTCTGGTATTTGTCTGATGATAACAATTCCTTGATCTTCTTACTCTTAGATGAGAAAGGTACAAGAGTGACTGGACTTGGGGCGGCTCCTCTGTACATGGCCCCAGCCCTCCAATACCTTTTACCAAATGTCTCTTCCCACTGATTTGTAGTTCCAGAAAATCCAACATCCAACTTCTGTCCTTTAGATCTGTCTGAGTCCATGTCATCATGCTCCAAAACTTTGCCATGTACCCTAATGAGGTCTTCACAATAAGAAACAGGATGCAACTGGTGAGAGTGCCACATAAGGTCAATGTCATAAGTGGGAACACAGAAGCGTCTAATTGACTTCTCCTTGTTTCTTCGTATAAGATGAAGAAACCCTTTATATCTGGCCAAGGCTTCTTCAAGGAAGAGATCATGGCTTATATGGGGCCTAGAAACCTGTGAACAAGTACCAAGGAAGATAGCCTTTCTAATCATCACAAAAAATCTTCAAAGTCCAAACTCGCCACAATGCAAATAATCTTTCCAGTCACTTCCTTATTTAATTAAAAAAGATAAGAACACTGATAAATCAGGCAAACAAGAGCAGTTATATCTAATAGAAAACCTTACAAATCAAGTTTTTGGCTGATATGACTCAGCACCCACTGAAGTTGAGAATTCATCAATACAAAAATTATAAACAAACATGTGGAAAAGCATTGGGGAACCGTCACCGTACCTACTACTACTGATATATGTATATGATGTGAAGATGTTGATTTGAAGAATGTCTTATGATCATTGCATTACCTGGTAGAAAAACGGACTCTGTCTTTTGACTGCTGACACCAAATCATATGCAGTGCATTTTTCAAGCCCTAGCATCTTCTCAGAAATATCTTCTTCAAAAGCTGCAGCTAAGTCTAATTCATAGTGCTCTTCTGGATATAGTTTTGTCCAAATTTCTTCGGTCCGCCTTGAGCAGGTGCCTTGAGTAGAAGATACAACATTAGAGTTGTCAAGCATCCTACCATACAGATCCACACAGTCGGATTTGTATCGGATCTGGGAAAAAGAACAAATCCCATAAGAAAACGCGGAAGGTCCAGTGAAAATTTGATGAAGTACAAGATCTATATGGACAAGAAAGCTGAGATCCTACCGGATTGAGCCTGTGACAATGCCATATCCATTCACAATCAAGAGGAACGACCAACGGGCCTTCGACAAGATGGGACTCTGAGTGTTTGGCAAGCAAAGGAAGCCAAAATGCATTGTATCTGTAGTTCACATGTTATGTTTCAGAACTTGGTTATATAGAAAACAGTGAGATAATATTCAGTACTATCATCTTCCAAAAACCATGAGACACCACTGTCAAAACTCCAAATGTGCATCAAATCCCCAAACTAGAGCAAAATTCTAGAATGAATTGAAGAAAAGGAAAGCCTATATTAATTTTGGAAAAAGAATATTAGGCTGCTAAAGTTTCTCATCAAGCATAGAAGTCTCAGTGAAAATATGTTTTGAGCCAGTCCTCCACTACGCTATTCGTGACGGTCCAAGAAAACAAGAGTATGACAAAGCAATAACCACTTGGTGAGATCTTACAATAGTTCAGATAGTCAGACATATACAAACACTTAACATACTCTCTCGGATTCACACATACTTGAGAAGAACATCTTTCACTAACATCAAGGCTTTCCAGAGGATGTAAGTGGTCAAAGGTTCATTGTAAATCTCTCCCCCTCCCTCCCTCTCTCTCCCCTCTCTCTCTCTCTCTCTTGCATCCACTCATGCGCTGATACACTTCTCACCCAAGGCAATCACATTTTACAAGGAACTTCAAATGACTTTACCCTAATCGAAGGTTTGACAAAGAGAAATCAGTACGTGCCTCCTTCCGAAGAAATGCTCCTATTGTCTACCTATTGAATGGCACGTAACACGTGACCGAAGCACTTAGCGAATAAGCCGACACTAGAAAAGTTCAAAAACAAGTCAATTGAAATTTTCTTATTAACAAAACAAAAGACAGTAGTGATTGGAGCAAACGCAAAGGCAAAAGATATACCCAAATCGTAAGCAACGAACACAGATATAACAAAAAAGGAAGGGTCGTAAAACTTGCTGCACCAAATTTTTACCTATATATGGCCCTTTGGAGAGCAGGACCTTCATAGAGGAAACGGTTCCGATCGACAGCCGCGAGGAACTTGAGCTGCTGTGCGGCTGCAGCCACCAGGTCCACACTTATTTCGATCTTGTGCGCTTCGGCCCACTCCGATTCGCGCTTTAATTCGATCTGCATGTCCATTCTCACCTGAGAGCGCATCGTTCAGCGAGCTTCAATCAGATTATGAAGTTCAGATAACCAAAACACATGACATATTATTGCAATTTTACCTCCAGACAAGACAATCAGCGGGAATGAAAAAAAAAAAACAGAAAAACTAATGAATCATGTCAATCTACACGCTCGCTATCCCATTTCACGACCACAAATCAGTTCTCTTTAGTGGATAATCCGCTCCAAAATAGACAAAAACGTCCAAATTACAGTGAATTTTCCTCATTTGACTAGTCAAAAACTAGAGCGAAAGAAGGAAGCGCCCCCCATAAATGATCGAACGCGTAAAGAAAAATTCAATGGAATACAAGAAAATGCGAAGCACTTGATCAGGAAAAGTCAGCAAAGTCCAATTCCAAATTACCCACATTGGAAAATCAACCCAACTTCACCAGCAGATCATTCCTCAAGAAAAACGCGGAAAAAAAAAATTCAAGAACCCCAAAAGGTCGTTCTTTTCAAACGTCAGCTTCGAACTAGCTCAAATGGGTACCCCGAAAACCGATCGTTCGCAACACAAAAGCCGGGACAAACGATTCAAGAATTGACTCTAGTTCGAGCCACCGTCGAAGCCGACGGGCATCGCCGGAGAGAGGAGAGATGAACTGGCCTACCCGCTAAAGATTACTTACTGCACGATCAAGAAAGAGAAAGAGAAACCATCGACATGCGCGGTCCTCTTTGCATGCAAGAAAGATGGATGAAAATCCTCCGCGACTCTGAGACTGTGTGACCTGCTAAAGATTACTTACTGTGCGATGAAGATGGAGAGAATCAGCAGTTCGAGGAGAGGGTCTTGTTCGTGATGATCGATTATGATGCGGGCAAGAAAAATGGATTTAAAATTCTCCGGGTTTGAGACAGGGACGCCGTACTTATAGGCTCGCGCACGATGACGTACGTTGCTCGTGCAGTACAAAAGCTTCCTGGTCATCTTCAAACACGACTTTTCCTTGCACTTAGTTCTTTTCAAAAACCATCCCTGAATTTTCAGCATGGTGGATGAAATTTGATCTAACATGCAATACGAATGCTGAGGGCTAACATCACAATAACTTCAAATTAGTATACATGTAATAAATTTATTTTAAATTAACTTTTTGACAATCAAAAATTTTAAATTAGTACATCTATGACAAATTTACTCTTCATTAGTTTTAGTTAAATTTTACCGTTAAATTTTCGAATTAAATAACACGTAACAGTTAACGAGTGCGTCATTTTTTGGTTTTACCCCTCTATTATTCACAGGTTTATCAATTTATGATTTTTTGTGATATTAATTCAATTTAACGGAAGGTAAATTTATCACAAACGTACCAGTTTATGGTTTTTAGTGGTCAAAATGTTAGCTTATGGTAAATTTATCACAGATGTACCAGTTTGGGGGTTTTTGTGGTAAAAAAATTAGTTCGAGGTAAATTTGTTACAAGTATACCAGTTTGGGATTTTTCGTGGTATTAACCCTGATTTGTTCAATATAATCGCTGAAATTTTGGTACATATTTAATTTAGTCGTTGGACTGTACAAAAATGTTTAATATTGTCTCTGAACTTGAATTGATGGAAGGAGAGCATTAAATATTTTCGTATAGTCTAACGACTAAATTAAATATGGACCAAATTGAACAAATTAAAAGTTGATATTGGAGTAAGTTCAAGGACCACATTACATATTGGGTCAAAGTTTAAGGATCATTTGCGTCATTATGTCATTTTTCTAACCGAGCTTGTATACTTTTAATTATGTCTAATCAAGTCCCTCGATACAAAATTCGCTCAAATTCAGCTTACTCGACTATTGGAGGATGCCAAAACATGATATGACTTAAATATTGGGGAGAAGAACAGCAGGAGTGCCAAAACTTGTGTACGGCGCTCACTTTAATGCCAAAAGTTTCATTTGGATCACTTTAGTGCCAAATTTTTTGAAAAATGCTCATTTCAGTGCCAACTCCGATCAGTTTGGCCGGAAATCCGACGTGGTCTTTTTTTTATTAGTTTCTTAAGCCGACGTGGCTCGCCGGAGAGTCCAGTCAGCATCCCATCCCTAAAACGACACAGTTTAGTGCTCTTTCCCCCAAATAAGAACCCTAAATCCCCAAATTGAGAGAATCCCTCAATTTGCAAAACCGGCTATCTTCTCCCCAATTGAAACCCTATTTTGATTCGCCCCCATAGTTACAAGCTCAATCTTGCAAATGGAGAGCAGCAGCTTCGGCGGCGACTCAAATTCGTTTCAACGAAGCAAACAAGAGGCCGAATGTTACTGTTTTTGCGGGTTACCGAGTCCAATAAGAACATCTTGGACTCGGTTGAATCCTGAAAGAAGATTTAATGATTGCGCCAGGTATAGAGAAGGCTCGAAGTGCAAATATTTCAAATGGATTGATGCGAAATTCTCCGATCGAGCGATAAAGGTGATCTTTGAGCTACTTGAAGGACGCCATCAACGCCCACCTACATTAATGGATGAATTGGAGTATGTGTACTCAATACAAGCTGAAATGAAGGCGTCAGCATCTCTGGCCAATCATTTGAAGAAGGAAGTTTCAAGAATGAAAATTGAAAGGAAGTGTTATCGAGCATTGATTGTATTGTTATTCTGTTGTGTATCATATTTTATGGTCAAATGTAAAGTGAGTGATGAGAAGAAGTTTCTCAGTCTACCATAGTTGAAGATGAGTGGAATATGTACTTGTATTGGGTAATTTGTAAGTATAGTTGTATTAGCCTATTTTTGTATGGAACAAAAGTTTGCTGCAATCTATGGTGGAAATGGAAGGTTGAAATTCATTGGTTGTGACCATTGACAAGTTCTCTTGCTTGGTTGTGTATTCTCAATTCTTATTTGCTTAGTTTTGCTTGAGATGTTTGGATTCTTGCAATGGTTTCTTGGTATTCTGGTAATTGTTTGTTTGAGATTTTCGGTAATGGGATGCTGGTTTGCTGCAATTGTTGCTGCAAACGCTTGTCAAATGAAGGAGTGGTACCAAGTTCAGAAGTCCTTATTTCAGTGTCATACGTTGTAAATAGCGATCGTTTAAGTGCCAAGTTTTTCTGAAACTGATCACTTAAGTGCCAATCGTGGTCAAAAGTGATCACTTAAGTGCCAATCGTGGTGAAAACTGATCACTTAAGTGCCAGTTATTGTTCAAAAGTGAGCACTTAAGTGCTAGTTGTTGATATGTTCGTTTCACTGATACTGCACCAGCAACAATCACATAGCTGGTGTGCTTGCTTGCACCAGCTATGTGTTGGTACAGAGTGCATCTTGTGCTTGCACCCATACATAGCTGGTGCAAGCATAAGATGCCTTTGAGCTGCACCAACACATAGCTAGTGGACTAGCGCACTAGCAACTTGCACCTCACACCTCGCACCAGCATATATAACTACTGGCGCAAGCCCTGCACCAGCCACCAAGTACCACCATCACCACTGCACCACCAATGCGCCACCACCATCACTAGTGCACCACCAGCACCACCAGTACACCAACACAGCCACAGCACCACCACCACTACTAAACTACCACCACTACCAGCCAAGCAACACCACCACCGCTGCACCACAACCACAGCAACACCACCACCTAAATTTGCGAAAACAACACCACCACCATTGCACCACCACCACCACACCAACACCACCACTGCACCACGACCATCACTGCACCACCACCACTGCACCACCAACACCACCACTACACCACTGCACCACTACCACCACCACTGCACCACCGCACCACTACCACCACCACCGCACCACCACTACCACCGCACCACCACCACCGCAGCACTAACACCACCACGCACCACGACCATCACGCACCACCACCACCGCACCACTAACACCACCACCGTACCACCACCACCACCGCACCACCAACACCACCATTGTACCACCACCACCACCGCACCACGGCCATCACTGCACCACCAACACCACCACTACCACCACCACTGCACCACCACGACCACCACTGCACCAGCCAAGCACAACTAGAACATCCAGCAGAACTAGCAACACAACTAGCATAACCAATAACAAAATATGGAAATTTCAAAAGCATAGACAAAATAAATATCGGTCCATTGCCATTAAACTTAGTTTTTACATTTGGTCAATATGAATAACCAACTACAACATTCACATCCAGGGAATGGCTTCCCACCAAACAAAAACATTAAACTGACTCAACGCCGTACAATGTCAATTCCACGAGTCAATGTGCATGTCACGTCCCGAACCCCATCGAGCTAGCGACATCCCTCCTTGGTCGAATTAATGCGGCGTCCCAGGAAAACATCGCTGACCCAAACGATCAGAAGCACATGCAGAAATGAATATCAAAACGCCCGTACTAAAAAGATGACGACGGGGTAGAGCATCAAGACTGTCAATGAACTAACAACATTAACTTATATACACTTTCAACGTACCGAGCATACAAACAACGTTACATACAAACTTAGCAAACGAGCATCCAAAAACCACTGACATAACAAAAAGGATCGGGTGGTTGGGTTAGCTTAGCTTCACTATAGGTCGACCTATCTTCCAAAAAGTGACTGGTCAGATCTAGTTTATACAACCCCTAAAATACCCTGGTGAAACCTAGGGATCACCCTCCTCCCATTCTTCTCCTGAGTCCTCTGGCTCGAACCCCGGAGGAATACTTGGATCGTGATACGGAGGGACCGCCTGCAATGGTTGCACAGTCAACGGCTCCACTGGGGGTACTGTGAATGGCTTCTCATATGGCTCCTCGGGATCAACGATCTCGTCATCGGGAGGAATGATCGCCAAAGGTCCCACTCGCCAACGCCATAAAAAGGGATGTCGAAGCTTCTCAGCGGACCTGTTCCTCCACGCCACCTCGATAAGTCCACGCCACATACGAATACAACTTCAGGTGTAATCCGCCCTCGTCAACCCAAACAACGCTCGAGTGCCTTACGAAAGCTCGGTCGTCTCCTAAAGGGTACTCCACCTCCTGATGATCCACATGACTAGGGATCCCAAAACGAGGAGGCGGGCCTCTTGGGCTCATGGCTGAGGGTCTGAAATTGTGGTTATACAACTATGAGACGAATCTCAATAAGTGCATAACCCCAAACCCCATATAGGCTCTAACGTACCGCCAGACAAAACATGCATAACACACACAACCAATTATACCAACAATCACATGCGATCCTATCTGGGATCCATCATGCACATCCCTGCATGTCAGATAATAATACAGCCAATCCATTCACGTCCTTACTCATCAAACACTATGTCACGCAAGGTAAACCACACTCGCACACTACTCACACCATGCGTCAATTTTCACAAGTCTCGTGTGTCAAACCGAGTCCAGCTCATTCTCAACTTTCCATCACTACTGCGCCCGTGTAAAATGCATCAGGCTAACGGTCTTCTGACCTCATCAGGCATCGTCACCCCGTCGGGTCGGGCATCGTCACCTCGTTAGGGACGGCATCGTCCCGCGTAACAGGCCTCAGGACGGAACCTACCCCGCGTAAACGAACACGCCTCAGGGTATCACTTTTCCAGCCACTCAAACCATCTCGTACCATCGTACCACACATACCACGCGGCCACACAAACACACGGCCACACAATCTCATGCCATACATACGTTTCACCATCACACAATCACACCGTACTGTCACACATACTTGGCACGCGACCTCATTACACGATCACACACATGGCACACGGCCATACCACATTCAGTCCAACATTCACTCAAAAATCAGCCAACAACCACAAGCCACACAATCACATGTACGAGCTCATTCAGGTCATAAAATTGCCAATCAACATACAATTCAGCCAATGTCATGCCGCATCACCACAGCCCCATCCAAGCCTCTAAACCGCACATTTCCATTCATC